ATTAAAGTCATATCATGAAAACTTCTAGTGAACAAAACGGAATAAATCGTCCTAATTTATCATAATCCCACGAAACATTGAAATAGCGATGACGTGAACAATAGTGAAACATTTTCCTCGCCCAGAATTCGACCAAAATCAGATGATTTTGCCTCCCACAGCACTTGACACTGCAGCTGCGCAATTTTAATTGTCCTGTCACGTGTTTTTTTCTGTCATCACGGCCACACATTTTTCTAATTTTCTCCAGAGATGATATTGTCCCGCGGATCTGTTGTAATAGTGAGATGAGAGAGACTGTTTTGTCCTGGGGGTTTAATGGCGATGGAATGGACGTGGTGGAAGGACTGGTGGAGACTGAAGAAGTGGCGTCAGAGTAGGAGTCAGCAGGAGAATTTAGAGATCGATGACTTTGATGACTGTTGTTACTGTGATGAGTGTCTTGTAAGAAACTCATTCATATCTTTATATTGTGTTGATAACGAGTGAGATAGTTCTGATAATCGACACAAAACGAAATTGCTCTGAACATTTGATGAAATGAAAATTGCATTTTCAGGTACAGCAGAAAAACTTGAATTGAATGAAACTCTTCAACAATATTTTCACCAATCAATTCATCGATTTATTTCAATGAAGATGTTTTAATTATATGAAATGAATGAATAAATTTCAAATTTGAAATATTTGATTACCTTGCTGAGAAAAATTATGGGTTTGGAAAATAAAAAATATAATTCAGTAGCGAAGCGAGAAACCGGGTCGTTGATTTTGACTTTTGGTCAGTTTTTGATGAATATCTCGGAATCTAAAAGAGATAGTAGAATTTTTCTCATGACCTTTTTTGTAGGGTCAATTGAGGAGCATAAAAAAGGTCATGACAAAATTTTTTCTATCTCTTTTAGATTCCGAGATATTCGTCGAAAACTGGCCAATAGTCAAAATCGATTCAACCCAGTTTACCGCTTCGCTACTGAATTGTGGTATACCGTACAGAAAAATGAACAGAAAAAGTGAACTTGACGAAAAAAAATTGTTTGGGCCTCACTATTACGAGCTATTGTTCAAGTGTAGGCAGACCTTGACTAGTTTTTCTCTGTACTTGAACATTCAATTCCGAATGTCAATGTTTTTGTCTCTCATCAAGAGGAACTATGAATCAACTCCACATGCACTCAACTTGAACTGAAAATATCTCGGTGCACACCCGGTGGTTACCATTTAAATATAGAATTTGCGAATTTGTTGCTGGTCTAGATGGGTTTTAATATTTTGTGGTCTCACCTTGAGTGAATGGAGCTGTTGCCTTGTCCCGAATTAACGAAAACAATGAGTTGGGGGCATAAATGTGGAATTTTATCGGGGAATTATGAATTTTCGACAGTTTCTTTAAATATGATGTTTCAAGTTCATTTAATTAAGCATGAAAAAAAAAATTCTAATGCCGTTTTATCGAAGTTCTGAGATAATAAGATAGCTCAAGAATTTTTACAAGAATTCTGATACAATTCAGTAGCGAAATGGTGAAACAGGAATTAGTTACCTTAACACAAAAAAATGAAGACGTAAATTTGAGCGATTACGAAGCGTCCAATTGGGAGCAAAACGTCAAAAATTCATCGCAAAATCGTTTAAGGTATATCCCAACACATATCTCAAAAACTACCTGATCGATTTCATTTTTTTTTTCAAAATACCCGTCTCGATGTCTTCGGAGGGAATTGCTATGGATCCATTCGGAAGCTTACTACCAATGGAATTGGTAGAAATAAAAAATTAAAATACAAATAACAATAAAGTAACAGTCACATGCCTTCTGCAATATGCGAGCGGTCAACTGCTTGTTTTTGCACTAATAATTCGTTTTTAGACATAGGGGAGGGTAGGGCAAAACAGGGTAGGGTGGGCAAAATGGGGCGCCTCAAAATTTTCACAAAAATTGAAATAATGATGAATTTGCGAGAAAAGTATCAAATAACTACCAGATGAGTTAATTAAGAACTATCTCTCAATTTTTTTCAGATTTTTTCGACAATCCATTTCAGAGATATGATTTTTTCTTCATTTTTCAATATGTTCAATTCTATTCCTTGGATTTTCATTTATAACCCATCAAAATTTTCCATTTTCTACTATCTATAAGAATATTTTGAGTATTTTTTTTTGTAATCCCTAGGTGCTCATAATAACGCATTAAAAAAAAAGTTGAAAAACTTGAATTTTCAAAATTATGTTACGTTTTATTTTTTTCGTATTTTTTTCATTAATTCTTGTCATCAAAACAAATATTCTAAGCTGTCAAACAAGTCAGGTTTCGTCCTGGACCCATTTTATTTTCAATTTTTTCTTGTCGAAATTCCGCGAATTTGGTCAAAACACCCTGAGACGACTTCGATTATGTATCGAAAAAATACGTATCATATAAGTATACATTTTAATTAATTTCATACTCTTTATAATCAAAGTCAATCAACGCAATTTTGAGGTATTTCAATTGGGGCATTCCCATTTTGTCCTTCAATTATTTTTTTTGAATTGATGTGATTTCAAATGAATGAATGCTGAAGCCATATTTTAACTCAAATATAAGTAATTTTTACCAAAAATTACTCATAATCAGCCTCTACGTTTTCATGCCCCATTTTGCCCTCCCCTCCCCTATGTAATCGATCTTCAATGCATTAGAAATCGCACTCCAATAGCCCGCGACTTTTAAAACTCATAGTAGTCTCCGCTTAATTATGACGTGTTTTCTAGGGATAAATTCATATTTTAATATTACAGGGCGAGCTGTCGGACGGGTGTGTCAGCGAGGATGGGTGCATGGGAGGAAGTGACCTCGATGGCGAGGGCAAGCAAGTCCTGGTGGGAATATGCGCCATGGCCAAGAAATCCCAGAGTAAACCGATGAAGGAGATTCTAACGCGTCTCGAGGAATTCGAGTACATAAAAATCCTAGTATTCGGTGAGGAGGTGATTTTGAAAGAGCCAGTGGAGGATTGGCCAATCGTTGATTGTCTGATAAGTTTCCACAGCAAGGGATTTCCTCTTGACAAGGCCATCAGTTACGCAAATCTCAGGAATCCATTCATCATCAATAATTTACCGATGCAGTACGACATTCAGGTGATTCATCGATTCATTGTTACATTCTTGATTTATATCCCAGTGATTTATCACGTTTTTTCACTCGATTGTTTTTTTTTTCCATCGATAATTCAGGACAGAAGAAGAGTGTATGCTATTCTGGAGAGCGAGGGCATTGAAATACCCAGGTATGCGGTACTGGACAGAGACTCAGCTGATCCAAAACGTAAGCACTTCTTTGTCATACGAAAATCGATCTTTAATTATTAAAATTCATGAAACATTTTTTCTCACTTGATCAAGTAATAAATTGCTCTCTTGTCCCATCGCCATCGGTAAGAATATTTACAGTTGTGTGACGATTTATTATGAATTGGTTAATTGTTGACTAATTGTTGAAGTTGTTCGTCTTGTGAAATGAGTTAAATTTTGAAGAACAGAACAGAATAATTCAGTAGCGAAGTGGTAAAACGGTTTAAGTCGACTTATCTCCCAGTTGAGTTTTTGAGGAATATTTTCGAATCTAAGAGAGATAGTGAAATTTTTGTAATTACATTTGTTGTAGCTCTCAATCGGCTCTACCAAAAAGGTTATAACAAAAATTTTGCTATCTCCCCTAGATTCCGGGATATTAATTTAAACTGGTCAATACTCAAAATTGACTTGTACCGTTTTACCACTTCGCTACTGAATTGATTGACAAATCGTTGATTTAGGGGAAGACGGGTAAAATGAAACCATAAGGTACGATTTGGATGAGTCAGGCTCAGTTTCAAGCTTGAAAAAATACATTTAAAATGGAAAAAAAAATGGCAAATTGAAAATGGCTCATTTTATCCCCCTGTTCCCCACGTTCTGAAGGAGCGGTAAAGTAGTTTTGATTTAGATTAATCTAGTAATTAATACGATGATACCTTGATTTTTGGTTTTAATTACCCCCCGTTGTGTTGAATGTTCCATTTTTGACATGCGAAGAACTAAGAATTTATTTCAGACCACGAACTGGTGGAGTCTGAGGACCACGTGGAGGTCAATGGTGTGACGTTTAATAAACCATTCGTTGAGAAACCAGTGTCAGCTGAGGATCACAATATTTATATTTATTATCCTACTTCTGCGGGTGGTGGTAGTCAACGTTTGTTCAGAAAAGTAAGTCGCATATTTATTAAATTGAAAAATTTCGAAGAGATTTGTGTGAATCGACAAAATACTCTTCAGCTGAAAATTTTGGTAATAGTTTGTTCATGTTTCGCTCAATATTTGGAGGACGCAGTACGAATGAATAATCTTTCGTTCGAAATTACAAACTCAGTAGCAAAGTTGTTAAACGGTTTAATTCGATTTTGGCTATTGGCCAGTTTTCAATGAATATCTCGAAATCTAAGAGAAATAGAAAAAAAATTTTCATAACCTTTTTAGTAGCACCCATTCCGCTCTACAAAAACGGTTCCAATGAAAATTTCACTATCTCCCTTAAATTCGTAAAGATTTCTGGAAAACTCAACTGAAGACTAAATTGACTTAAACCGTTTGACACTTCACTACTGAATTATAAATTAGAAAAAAAATTATCAATTTAAGGCCCGGGTGGATTATCTTTCGAACGTTATCTCGATTGTTTTTCCATCTTCGTAATGTAAAATATATCACAATTTCTATTGGATTTTATATCACGCAGGAGTCTCTAAAAATTATGATTGTACAATCACAAAAAGTAGAAAAAAACTGAACATTTTCAAAGAGCATTTTTAATAAAGATTGAGAAATAAGTACGATAGAGACGAAATAGTGAATGGATAATTTATAATTCTAACTAACAATTTGACAGCCATTAGATACATTAAATTATGAATTTGCAATTTCCTTCCTATTGGGTTTATTTCCCAATATTATTAAAAAATGCTCTTTGAAAATTTTTTTTTCAAGGTTTTTTTGATTGTACAATCATAATTTTTGGAGACTTCGGAGCTATGTAAAACTAAATGGCAATTGGAGATAATTTAAGATTATCAAAAAAAAAAAAAAAAAACAACCAAGATCATGTTCGAAAGATAATCCATTCGGGCCTTAAAGGTGAAAATATTTCGGAGAAGGAAAAATGTAGCTATTTGGTGCAAATAGCTATTTTATCATTGTTTTGTATAAAATCAACATTTTTTGGAAATGCAATCTCTTGTTTGCACAGAAAATATCAATTTTTGTATGAAATGTTTGAGAATTGATAAGAAACGACAGAAGAATTTCGCAAATCATGACAAAAATTGATTTTAAATCACGAAAAGTTTTCAAAATTCACCTCTTCAATAATAAAATAAATAATTTTTCCCTAGATTGGCAGCCGAAGTAGTGTATATTCCCCAGAATCTCGAGTACGAAAGACTGGCTCCTACATCTACGAAGATTTCATGCCGACAGACGGTACCGACGTCAAAGTCTACACAGTGGGTCCCGATTATGCTCATGCAGAAGCCAGAAAGAGTCCAGCCCTGGATGGAAAAGTGGAGAGAGACTCTGAAGGAAAAGAAATACGATATCCAGTGATTTTGAGCAATGCCGAGAAATTAATAAGCAGAAAAGTCTGCCTGGCCTTTAAGCAGACCGTCTGTGGCTTTGATCTCCTGAGGTATTGATGCATCAGCATGAAAAGCAATTGTCCTTGGCGCTGGGGATATTCATTTTTTTTTCAATGGTTTTCCAGGGCAAATGGAAAGTCGTTTGTTTGTGACGTCAATGGCTTCAGTTTCGTTAAGAATTCCAATAAGTATTACGACGACTGTGCCAAAATCTTGGGGAATATGATACTCCGGGAATTGGCACCAACTCTACACATTCCTTGGAGCGTTCCATTCCAACTGGATGATCCACCGATTGTACCGACCACCTTTGGAAAAATGTAAGAGATTTTTATGGGTTTGAAGGATGAAATTGCAACCTCGCGATTATCTCGGAAACTATGAGAGATAGAGCCTTAAAACCAATTCCATTCGATTCCTGAGGAAATTTGGGTTCCCTATAGGCAGATGGACGGCTCAGAATTGCGTTTTTCCTCTTCGTACAGCCTATTAAAGATCAATTGAATTACTTTTTTTTTACCATTTCGGTTTTCGCGATTATCTCAGAAACTATGAGAGATAGAGAGATAATTTATAAACAATCACTTTTTCACCGTAAAAATCATATGTTCGAAATCGTAACAAATTTATTTCTATTCCGAATTTTACCAAAAATCGATTTCATGCCTAAAAAACAATAAATCTGTGCAAACTGTAATTTCAGTGACGCTCAAGATTCATGATTTTTTTTAATTGACAAATTTGATGATTGAAAATGGTTGAATCTACAGTCTCTACCAAAATGTAAAAGATACTTGATATCCTTAAGCCCTCAAAAATCTCCTAAAATGAATTTTTCAACAGTTTCATCCTCATGTTCAGAGGTGATATTATTTTTTTTCCTCTGGCACTTGTTCATGGTAATCTCAATAATAAAAGAAGATGAAGGCAAAAACCGTTCCAAATAATTCCCATATCTGCTCAATAGGATGGAATTGAGGTGTGTGGTGGCAGTGATTCGTCACGGGGATCGCACACCGAAGCAAAAAATGAAAGTAGAAGTTCGCCATCCAAAATTTTTCGAGATCTTCGCCAAGTATGATGGGTACAAGCATGGCCATGTGAAACTGAAGCGTCCTAAGCAGCTGCAAGAAATTCTCGACACAGCGAGGAGCCTTCTAGCTGAAATCCAGCATCGAGCAGCTGGTCCAGAGCTCGAGGAGAAACAAGGGAAATTGGAGCAGCTCAAAAGTGTCTTAGAAATGTAAGCAAACCAGTATTTTTACAGAACACATTGTCTTCAATCATCAATATCTCGTGACCCAATGAATCAATTTGGATGAATCAATTCTTATTTTGAAGTTTAGAAATCAACTTGAAAACAAAAAAAATGGAGATCTGAGTCATTAATTGTCGATTCTAATTAATTAGAGGTGAAAATTTTATTGCGTAAGGGAACAACGAGAAAGGTATCTTACATGAAGAGTCGACTATACTAGAGAAAATGAACATAAAACGATGATGATGATTTTTCAGGTACGGCCACTTCTCCGGCATCAACCGAAAAGTCCAGATGAAATACCAGCCACGAGGTAGACCTAGAGGCAGTTCATCCGACGATGGTAACAGCCACAGTATGAACCTTCCCATTAATTCATTAACATCAGAGTTTTTCTAGAACTTACTCTCATCAAAATACGTATGAAAACATGCTACAGGATTCCTATAGGATTTCTTGTGTAGAATTCAAAGTTTATAAAAGAAAACGTCCAGCGGGAGCATGGAGATAACATTCGAAAGATAGCACACCCGGGCCTTAATATCAAAGTTTCCGAAGGAAAAGTATCTTGAATGTATTCTATTTTTTTACATATAATACATCCAGTGTGACTTTTTTTGAAGCCAATCTATTCGGCGTATTGTGTCATTAGATTTTTTATAAATGATGATAGCATATATTAAAGATATTACGATAATACTACACTATATTATATAGGGAAGAGTCCGGCAAAATGGGACGTTTCGTGAACTTCACTAATTGTCAATATTTTCACTTACAAATGAAGATATTGACAGTGGGAAAAGATTTCAATATGTCCCATTTTGCCCGATCCTCCCCTATACTATGTATAATATACAATATATAATAGAGCGCTATATGTATTATATAAAATATAATGTGCACAATAAAAAAATGGAATGATAAACCGTTAATAATAATATGCATAATATATCATAATATAGGATAGTATAGAATATAATAAAGTATTATCGTAATATCTTTAGTGTATACTATCATCATAGATTGGCTTCAAAAAACGTTACACTAGATTTTTTATTGAAGAAATCTTGCAGAAGAAGACCACTACACGTTATGCGCGGCGGGGNGGGGGGGGGGGGGGGGGGGGGAGGACACCCTACAGATCCTGTGTGTGTCCCCCCTATTAGCATTTCGTCGCTATAAAATCTGGGGCCAGGCTTTCATGGAACCAGAAGACCTATGTAAAGGGACAGTGGTCAACCTCATTAGTTTAGTAGAAGGTACAGGGCTGGGGGAGGGGGGGTTGGACTGAATAAATAAAGGCGGATGTTATAAGCGATCATATGATTTAGGTGACTCTGGGCAACATATTGACCAGCCTCATATATATCTAATCTAATCTATCCTGTGTAGAATTCAAACATTTCTTATTGGATTTTTCACATAGGATTTTATGCTACAGGATATCCTATAACGTTTCTTCATACGTTTAATAGTCATCAATCGAGGGTATATTAATACCCAACAAACAAATCACCGAAGCTCTCCAAGAGGACTCGATCAGTAATATGCATCCTCTCCCATTATCTCCCTATTCAATAATTAATAAAAAATGTATTCTCTAGATCGTTTGGGTGAACCTTCACTCGTACTCATATTGAAGTGGGGTGGAGAGCTTACTCCAGCGGGGAGAATTCAGGCCGAGGAATTGGGAAGAATTTTCAGGTGCATGTACCCTGGTGGTCAAGGTAGACACCTTAGTGGTTCGTATCATGCGCAATTGTGCTTCTTATTTCATTTTATTTTAAGTTTACGTCAAAGATATCGTGATCTATCATTTCCAATGATACTGGAATATTGATTGCAGGTTCATAGAATGTTTTCTCATGTTGATCCATCTTTCTTATTGTTTTCGTCATCTCTCTGCACTCATGGCAAACTCATAAATGCAATTTTTCAGTGAATTAATCGTTGATGTTTGGTTGGGAGAAAGAATTGTTTACTTATTGCAAATTATCTGTTTCTTTTTTTTTGCTAAAATTCCAGAGGATGACTCAGAGATGTTACCAAGCCACGGTAACTTTTCTAATTTCAATGATTTTTTCATTTGTTTATCGATTTTTTAGCTTGCAGATTGAAGTTTTTCAGTTTAATTGTGCCACAGGGAATGAGAAACACAAAAACAAGGGGATTTTTTGGTTACGGTCGACTCTTCGTATAAGATACATCCTTCGGTGCTTCCTTACTCAATGATATTTCTACTTCTCATCAATTAAGGGGAGACTACTATGAGTTTTAAAAGGCACGGGCTATTGAACGCGATTTCTTATACATTGAAGATCGATTATATATATCTAAAAATGAATAATAAATGCAAAAAAATTAGTTGTTTATTATTAGTTTGCCCCGCAGACGCTTCACATGTTATAAATAGTCCAGGGCCTCCAATTTTTGGGCTTCAGAGGTTTCTTTCTTTTTCAAAATTTTTGAAAAAATATGTGCACTAACAACTACGAATTAGTTTTCTGAAATTGGACTCCTACACAGCTAATTTCGTTATTTTTTAAACCCTCGCTCACTCGCGCTCGGCCGTCCGCTTTCATCCGGCACTGTTGTCACCTTGGCGCTTACCGCTATGCGCGCATTTCACGTGTCGCAGTGAATTTAGCAACACTGTCGCTCAAGGGGTCGACAGAGACTCACTCGCACCGGGCACTCGAAGCGAACAATAAAAAAATATTTTTTTGCACTCATTATTCGTTTTTAGACATACATAATCGATCTTCAATGTACGAGATATCTCACCCCAATCGTCCGCGACTTTTAAAAGTCATAGTAATCTCCCCTCAATATCGATAATTAATGAGTGAAAGTTTTTAAGGATATCCAAGTACTTTCGCTATTTTTCCCCAATGAAATGCTTTTCTAATTTTGTAGTCGAACATCAGAGCTTTTATTTGCGGCCCATTGAACCCTTATGCTCGCTCTTTTTTCATTAAAAACAGTGCCATGTGTATCTTATACAAGGGGTCAACTGTAATTTATTGACGAAATGTTACTGTGGTTTGAATTATCATGTACTATTATGCACAGAGTTTGTGTTTTCAATTATTTTCCTTATGTGGCATGATATCAAAAAGTATTATTGCGAAAGTTTGGATCAAAGATTTCGTAGAAAAGCAAATATATCATTACATTTCAGTAGCGAAGGGGTGAACCAGGTGAATCAATTCAGCTTGAATCTGTCTTTTCGATGTACATCTCCGAATCTAAGGGAGATGACGACAAAATAACAAAAAATATCGCCATCTGTTTGAGATTCCGAGATCTTTCAGAATTCAAAATCCGTGAAATTGATCATCTAGTTCCACAACTTCACGACTTATTTGTTCAATCACTTCCTGATGAGCAAATGGAAATTTCAGGGGAGTATGCAGGGGCTCAGGGTTTAGGTCTATTGAGATTACACTCCACCTTCAGACACGACTTGAAAATTTACGCGAGCGATGAGGGAAGAGTCCAGATGACAGCAGCTGCCTTTGCAAAAGGCCTTCTAGCGCTCGAGGGGGAGTTGACACCGATTTTAGTGCAAATGGTGAAGTCTGCTAACACTAATGGACTTCTCGATAATGATTGTGATAGTAGCAAGTATCAGAATATGTGAGTATCCCTGGAATATTCATTTCAGTAGCGCACCGTTAAACCGGATTAAGTCGATTTTGACTATTGCTCAGTTTTTCATGAATATCTTGGAATCTAAAAAGAATCTAAAGAATCGAAAAGAATCTAAAGAATCTAAAGAATCTAAAAAGAGATAGAAAAATTTTTGTCATGACCTGTCTTATAGAGCCTGTTGAAGGTTATAAAAAAGGTCGTGACAAAAGTTTGGCTATCTCTCTTAGATTCCGAGATGTTCATGAAAAACTTGCCAAAAGTAAAAATCTACTTAACCCGGTGTACCGCTTCGCTAGTGATTTCAATCCCATCCCAAGTTTGGGACCTGTATAATTCATTTTTCATTCAGAAACATTCGAAATATTACTCATTAATTAATAAATAATTGTTAAAAGTAGAATATTTCAAACGCTTTGAAATCGCTAATGACGTCACACAGACGGTCGAGTCCTGGACCAATCACAGAGTAGCTCGAGCCGACCTAACCCAACCTTGAGGTGCGCCTCGGCCAATGGAGGACGACATCTCCCCACTCTCTTCTTTTTCGATCAATGAAGCGTTACCTGACCGTCTTCGTGACGTCATGACCCAAAAATTGGCCTCGAAAACGACTGATTTTCAATTCATTATCATAAGACATCTAGGCAATATTTCTCCATAACTTTCGCCATTTAGCTACCCACATGTTATGGGGAGTGTATGAATAGGGGAGTTAGAAAGAACAGAGCTTCATGCAAGTTCCCAATTCCAGGGTAAAAACAAAGCTTCACGAGCTACTCCAGCAAGACCGAGACTTCACTCCAGAGGATCGTGCGCAGATAAATCCCGGAAACGCCTTAAGCATCAACGACGCCCTAGACTTCGTGAAGAATCCAGTGAAATGTTGCCAGCACGTACAGTCACTGATTCAAAAACTAATGGATATAGTTCGTCTGAAGAAAGAGGATCCAAAGACCAAAGACGCCATTCTCTATCACGGAGAGACCTGGGAGTTGATGGGCCGTCGTTGGGGCAAGATTGAGAAGGATTTTTGCACCAAGAACAAGCGTTTCGACATTTCCAAAATCCCAGATATCTACGACTGCATAAAGTACGATCTCCAGCACAACAACCACACCCTGCAGTTCGATCACGCCGAGGAGCTCTACATCTACGCCAAATACCTCGCGGACATCGTGATCCCTCAGGAGTACGGGCTGACAGTCCAAGAGAAGCTGACGATAGGTCAAGGCATTTGCACGCCGTTACTGAAGAAGATCCGAGCGGATTTGCAGAGGAACATCGAGGAGTCTGGCGAGGAGACAGTCAACAGATTGAACCCGAGGTACTCCCACGGGGTGTCGAGTCCTGGGAGACACGTGAGGACTCGTCTCTACTTTACGAGTGAGAGTCATGTTCACTCGTTGCTGACAGTCCTCAGATATGGTGGTCTTCTTGACGTTATCAAGGACGAGCAGTGGAGGCGAGCCATGGAGTACGTGTCGATGGTGTCAGAGCTCAATTACATGTCCCAAATAGTTGTGATGCTGTACGAGGATCCCACGAAGGACCCCAGCAGCGAGGAGAGATTCCACGTTGAACTGCATTTCAGTCCTGGTGTGAATTGCTGCGTTCAGAAGAACCTTCCCCCGGGTCCTGGCTTCCGTCCGCACTCGAGAAATGAGAGCAGTCACAATTTGGAGACAAATTCCCAGTGCAGTACTAGAATTGAAGAGGAGGAGGAAGCTTTCCTGGGGGATGTGTCGAGCCCAATCAGTCCTCAGGAGACATCAGACTCATCTCCACCGTTGATTGAGACGGAGAATGCTGATTCGACACTGGGCAGCCCGACTACCAGTCGAGCTATCGATATGATGGATCTGGATCCTAATATGATGGACGAGCCTTATGACTCGGGATTTCTTCAGGGCTCGGCGCCAATTCCCATCAGTGCTAGGACTGTTGCTGGCCATGAGGCTGCCAGGTTAGGGAGTCAACTGGCAGCTAGTCAGAGACAGAGGCGAGAGAGGGAAGCTGCTAGCATCTGTGAGCCTAGGGCAAGGAGTTATGATCATCAGAGACAAGAGAAGCCAGAGAAAAGTGAGTATTTGTTGGCTCAAAGGTGCTCTTGAAGTGTTGAAGATTTTGGTGGGATTCTTGCATGATTGTACGGGGAATGAATGATGTTGCATGGGAATTTTTCTACGTTTTCTTTGGTTTCTTGAATTGGGGGGGGGGGGCATTGATTTCTGGAAAGCCAGGAAAGCAGAAGTCCATGAAAGATCACTTTGGTTGATTTTTTCATCCACTTTTGAAGACTTTTCTTTCTATTGATTTGGCTCATCTAATTTCCAAACGTCTACTTGATGTCTAAAAAAATTCTGATAAACAAATGGAGCTGCAATGTGTTCTTGTGTTTCTTCTATTCTCTTTTGTAGCTGCAGATAAGCTGCAGTATCAGAGTCTGGACGCTGTCAACAGAGAAGGTACGTCCTGGGTGATGATTATAACAATCTTTAAAACCATATTTTTTGGTCTCTTACGCATTACAAGAGTACTAAATTTGTTGTATTGATTTTTTTACGATGGTCTTTATGTACAATAATGTGAAGTATTTACACTCACGCAATTTACTGACTCAGTAGCAGTTACAACTTCCCCAGGAGGTGAAAAACAACATAATGATTGTATCTTTTATTTTCATTTTTTTTTTGAAATAACTCTGCTCTGCGATGGTTGTGCGAGTGGTGGCCCTCGATAACACGAATACGTCAGGATGACTGTTGTTTGGACCACAAGACTTATGGACCTTGTGATCCATCCCATAGTTGTTCATAATGAACTCAAAACAGATCCATGAATCCTCCCAAAGAATGTTTTTGAGGCAATTGTTCAATCGAAGAAGTTGAAGTTCGAATTTTGTCACCGCTTTGGGGCACATTTTTACAACCACAGGTTTATAAATTGTGCTTTTGGTCGATAACACACGTGCTGTACACAAAATATCACACTGCTGTTGCAACTAAACTGCTTGAACAATTCATTGATGAAGTCGTGACTAGGATTAGTTCTAAAATTCACTCCTGTATCACAATTTTATTACTGAATTCTCTCTCTCTCTCTAACCAAATTTCTTCAGGGCTTTCGCTTTCTCTGGCTGTTTGTCTGCATGTGGCTCTTATGAGTGTGTGCTACCGAAAGAATCATGTTTCATCATCCAACAGAAAAAGGTTGTACCCTTTCTCTTATGAGTTACTTGGGTTTTCCCTATTGTTTATGAATTGATTTCCATTTGACGAGAAGACCAGTGAATAATATCAAGTGGAATGTTTCGAACACCGATCTCCTCGTTAAATTTCAATTAATCCCGTTAAAACCTTGAAATTCAGCAGCGAAGTGATGAAACAAAGCAAGACAATTTCGTTAAGACTTCGGAGGTGATTGTCTCACCTCTCTTTGCACTTCTCTCCTGAATGAATATTTATTTTAAATCTTTGGTACTTGGTATTCACATCTTTTTCTTTTTCTCTTTCTTTTCTTCCGTCCCTCCACATCACCAAAACCTCTCAAAATCCTCATTAAATGATTAAAATATCCTCGATTAGATAAATCAGCTCGGTCACGTCACAATAGTCCGCCAACTCTAATAGAATCACGAAATATTCTCGGAATACCGATGGTTCTTCCGTACACCCTGAGCTCACCTGAGTTTCCCGCGCCCCTTCTGGACTCACTCCAAGAGCACGGACCCCTGGTAACCCTTCACAATACCTCTCTGGGCTCACCCACCACGAAAAGACCATCGATTCAAATATCAGAGGACGCTAAACCCCTCTTGAGCGCACCCCAACGCTACGGCCGCTCGCAGTCAACCTTGACCCTTCCAGTATTGGAAGTCCGGGGTGAGTTCGACCCGGTACGCTCCAGATCCCTATCACCAAGCCCTAGAGTACATTGCCAATGTTATAACTGCAACATCTCCGAACTAATACTCCAGAGTCATGAACTGAGTCCCTCTGAGCGCTCAAACTTGAGAACCTACTTCGCTCGCTCGATGTCACGTAAATTTGTAAATTGCTCGTGTTACGGTGTATACGTAGACGGTCCAGGTGTACCTCATCGGGAGGGTGAAAATCCCTCTAAAAAAAACTCAAGACGTCAATCACTCGATCGTAATTACCTCGTTATAAAAAATTGTCACCTAAATTTTGATAAATTTCTTCGTCATCGGTTGACCAAACGTCACTCATGGCCACTTATTGTGAGGACTGAGGCTGATAAAAGGCATGCTAGTTTACCACCAGAATCATCATCATTTACCTCTGATCGTAGTCCTAGTGCATCACACAATCATTATGTTAAATATCACAGTAGTTATGCCTGTAAGCACGATGAGAGATACAGAAAAACACAATTATCAAGAACCTTATCCAAAATCCACGCGCAACGATCCTTCTCATCCCCAGACACAAGACCTACGATCATTCAACCTGACCCTACATGCACAGCAAGGCGCCATCGTCACAGTATCTCCGGGCAGATGAGTTATTTCAAACTACTGGGTTACAACGTTACCAAGAAGCTGACTGGTTCCGCTAATAGTTTATTCAGTACTGCTGTTATCAGTGGTTCATCAAGTGCTCCCAATCTTAAGGACATGGTACCACAGCACGCGTCAGCTGTTGCAGGTGAATACTTTATCCTTCGTGAATCCATGTCCATAAATGACAATTGTAAATATGTTGAGTAGCTATTGAAGGATTCGGTGGTGTTCCACCTATACGACCTCTGGAGACGCTGCACAATGCTCTGTCGCTTCGTCAATTGGACTGCTTCCTGGATATGATGACGAGTGCTCCCTTGTTCAGAACTCCAGCCTCGTCTCCACCGAAATTTCCGTCACCGGGTGGATCTCAGGGGTCTCTCGTTCCGCATTTGTCGATTGGAGTTGCTATGGAACCGTCCAGGTAAGGAAATTCTGTGATGTGTTGAAACGATATCTCCTTTGGACATGTCTAATGGTTTGATGATTTTTTCAGATTCATTTCCACATCTGGACTTCCTTATAAGACGGGACAGGAGGGAGAGGCTGGTGATCATCGAGGGCAGCTATCTCCAACAAGTCCAAACAGTAAGATCAGTGATCAATCAGAAAAGAAAGATTTTAGAGGTTGATTCAGTTATCTCCAGTATTTCCTGAACTTTTTTGACATGGATACGACTATGGTTTCAATATGGGGAGTCATTTTGAGAAACGATCCTTATGTGCAGCGCCATCTATCGGAATTCTAAAAATTCTAGACATTTCGAAGTAAAATTTTGAGAAACGATCCTTATGTGTAGCACCATCTATTGGAATTCTAGAAAATTTTAGATATTTCGAGGTCATTCAGGGAGTTGCTAGAAAATTCGAGAGAATTCAAGTAGTTTCCAGAAAATTCGAGGAAATGCAAGGAGTTTCTAGAAAATTCGAGAAAGAAGGAAAGACCATGGACGTGCAATTACATCTGTATCGAAGATACAGCCGCTTGCAATTTTAATTCTTCTTTATTAGGTACAGGTTGGAGCAGCGAGCCCCAGTCGTTCCTCTCGTCAGAGCCATCGTCTCCAGCCCCCACATCAGCAGGTGAATGCAGCATGTCGATAAGCCTCATCAGCAATGATGGAAGTCAGACATTCGCGGGTCCCAAGTTCTCCGCAGCCCCTTGTCTCGACATGGACTTCAACGACTTCTGCATAGCAATGGATCAGGACAGCAGGGAGGGCAGAGGCAGTATATCCTACACAGACTACTACAGCAGTGAAGACGGCACCATCCGGAAGACAATTGAGGAGCCCAAGGAGTCAATGGAGGACGAGGAAGAGCATACACTGACACTGAGGCAGACTGAAGAGCAGAAGAAGCAAGACGTCCAGTCGATCTTTGACCAGAAGCCCAGTGGCTTCAAGAAAATCGGAAGATTCAGGGTGGAGAGTATGGAGATCGCTGATGACGACGTGAGGATCAAGACTGATGTCTTGAGTTCTTCGCATTCCCTGGAGAAGTTGAGGGTTCAGAGCATTTCGCCGTTAAAGAAGGAGAGAATTGATGATGGGAAGAAGTCTCGGAGCCTCAGGGTCAAAAAGGGGAAGACAATTCTCAGATCTCAGAGTGTCTCTGGTGCACAAGCGCATGACAATGAAGAACCTGGTGGGGTGTACGAGGGCTCACTCTCCACCACGAAACTGGGGAGCTTCTCCACCATGAGTGGGGGTGACTTGGAGCATTGGAAGAAGTCCGTTGAAGAGAGGCCTATCAAAGCTACTTCATCTGCTGAAACTACGGATGAACCGACTCTTACTGTCGCTGCGAGTCTGAGCGACAGCTCCAATGTCACGATCGGATTTGATATTAAAGGCGATAAACAATGTTGAGAATTTTGTATTTCCAATTAAACCATTCCTGACTCATTATGATTTGTCTGAGGTCGAAGTGGGAGAGAATAATACGGCAAAGGCTTTCATGTATGTGGTAGTGATGTTCAAGGTGCTTAGGAGCTTTCTAGAGCCTTTTTTGATCGGAAGTACCTGATTATTAGTTTTTAGGATTATTTTAGGTGATAATGATGAAACATTCATGTGTGATGTAATTAACCAGCTGATACTTAATGATGAATGTATTATTAGGATATTTTTAGACGATTACGAAAAATTTTCAATTTTGTGAGAGACCATGTGATTATTGTAAAGTCTAGACTCTTTGTATAAATTGTTGATAAATATGTACAGGTCCGCATTATATGATGAATAAATAACTGTTGAGATTATTCAGGCTCTTATCACTTTTTTTTCCTATTCATAATTTCATGGAATAGAAATGACGAAAGCCAAAGGTCGAATTTTTTTGTTCCATAATTAATTCAGTAACTTTTACAAATAGCATTGACCTTTTTTTCTGTCATCGATGTGTCATTTATTCTAACAAAAGGTGGAAAGAGATGATCGTACGAATTGGTTCAAGCTGGAACACGTGTGCGATTACGTATATTTCAGTCCCCTTTCACCCATTTTTCCCTAAATTCACCAAAACTAATTCCATGGAAGGGGGCGGGGAAATAATGCGACCTTAACCATCATTTAATCCCGCCCTGTCTCGGATCAACTCAGGAATAAATGAATAATTATTACGGAAACGACAGAAATTGTCTACTAATATTGTTTTTTTTTACTGTTGACCCGTTGGTACTTTTATTTATTACTTTTGTTTTGGTATTTATTGAGCTTCAAATGATCTCCAGAGGATTATTTAGACTCTCGTGTGGGGATTATCCCCTTTCAGAGCATTTACACGGTAGATTTACTCCCTAAAAGGCGCAACAAAGGGGCGGCGGAGGGGGAGAGGGGAGTAACTGGGCATGACGAAATGTGGCCACAATCTGAATTTCTGATTTTTTTAAATTCGATTTAGTTTTTGTTGACGTATCATCAAGCAAGACACCTCGTCGTTGATGAGTCATCGGGAGTCAAACAAATGGAGAAAGAAGAGATAGGTAAAGACACGTAGAGAAATGTTCTATTCGAATGAAATAAATGTTTATTTAAACATAAACTTGATTTCTAGTTGCATTTTTATCCCCATCAAATGAATAACTTATTGGATTCTAATGGAGGATTCATTTACAATGAAAGGATTACTTACGTCATATAATTGAAGCATTGTCATTGAAATAACTAGATGAGTTTATCAATTCTCAATAAAAACATTGTTGAAACGAATAGAAAAATTTCAAATGAAAAGTTTTATTTGATTCGGATGCGGCTGTTCTCTCGATGTAAACAATGCCCCCACCACAGTCAGGCTTGTGACACATCATTCAGAATCTTCGATTATGAAAATGCGTGAGCAAAGTGGATGGCTGGCTAGCGTGCCCCCCTCATGAGAAGTCACAGTCACATATAACCCATGATAAAGTCATTCCACTTGAAATTAAAAAGAAGTTAAGGATGTTCTACACCCTTTCTGCCAAAAATTCACGTTTTTTTAATTTTTCTGGCAAACTTATGATGGAATTGACGGGAAAAAATATAACGTTTTTGCGTTTTGTCATTATTTAATGACAGACAAAATTTTAAGGTGGTGCGAACATTTTCCTGCGTTTTCTCTAAACTTTTAAAAAGAATCACAAAACTGTAGAACAAACGAATGAAAATTATCGCACCACTACGCAACTTCGTGAGCCATTAAAGAATGACAAACCACAAAATCGTTATATTTTTTCACGTCACTCCCATCGATAATTTGCCAGAAAAATGAAAACAACGTCAATTTTGGCTAAAAGGGTGTCGAACATCCTTAAGTTGAGATGCGAAACATGCAAAGCCCGTAATATGTATTCTCCTACGTAAAATACAAAATTACGTATCCTACGTTTTCTCATGTTTGTTTTCGTAGACATTAAAAATAACAGTGTAAAACCATATGTACAAATATTTGGCTAAATAAACATGTTTTTATATTAAAAAACGGCCGTGATTATTCGCACCATTGCGTGAATCACTCCCGTACACTCCATACACTCCACGCATGCGTGAAGTTTGTATGTTTCACCCAGCCGAATTTTCATACTGCTGTGTATTTCACGCAGTTGAAGTTTCATACTACTGTGTGGTTCACGCAGTTGAAGTTTCATACTACGGTGTGTTTCACGCAGTTGAAGTTTTATACGACTGTGTGTTTCACGCAGTTATATTTTTATACACCTGTGTGTATCACGCAGTTGCATTTTTATACACCGGTGTGTTTCACGCAGTTGAATTTTTATACACATGTGTGTTTCACGCAGTTGTATTTTTATACACCTGTGTGTTTGACGCAGTTGCATTTTGATACGCCTGTGTGTTTCACGCAGTTGAAGTTTTATACACCTGTGTGTTTATACACAGGAGTGTGAAATACACAGGAGTATCTGAATACGACTGCGTGAAACACGACTGCGTGAATACGACTGCGTGAAACTCCTAGACCCCATTGTCCTCCTAGACAATGATGTCACAACTCTGCTGTTCAATTGAAAACAGACATCATCTTTAGAGACATTTGTCATGTTTAGAGGCTCTGGCACGTCATTTCTCGACCCGCTCTTTCATTTGCGCCCAAAAAAACATTCATATCTTGTCGGACATCGCTGCTACAAACTTGGGTCTACAACTCGGGTTTTCAATGGAAACCGAGTTTGTGGGTTTTCAATGGAAAACCCGAGTTGAAGACCCGAGTTTGTAGCAAAGATGTCAGACAAGATATGAATGTTTTTTTGGGCTCAAACGAAAGAGCGGGTCGAGAAATGGCGTGCTAGGACCTCTAAAGATGGTTTTGAACCAGGGGA